CAGCAACCGCGCTGTTGAGAAGAATAAAGAAAGTCTTTTTCTGCATGTGTTCTTTCCTCGTTCTCTCTCCTGCTGCTTCCTCTTTGAACGCTGTTACCTGTCTAAGGTAATGTGTGTTTGCCAAAGCTGAAGAGCACACCCACTGTTCACCAATAAAACTGATTCAAAACCCTTCCAGGCTTAACCCCTCATCTGCCAAGCAATATGAAAGCTGTTAAAATGAACTCTGGAACTGGTTCATAATATGTGAGTTTGTTTGTGTATGGGTTGTATAGGTTTAAAAGAAGACTACAAAAACATGTTACACCTTTTCTGTCAAATGGGTCTTGTGTTTCTAGGTAAGTAATTAGTAAGTGATTAGTCGCAAAGGTTGCTGTTTTTAAAACCAAACATTAAATTTGGTGTTGGGTGTCTGTATACAAGACTTAAATCTATTACCCTGCAGAAGCAATCATTTAAACAATATAATTGAACTGGGATCTTTATGAATACTTCCCATCCTTTTATTATCCGTCACTAAAACAGGGTGACACATTTTTTATTTATTTGTTTTACACATTTTCACAACATGAAAGTAATCTCAGGTGCTAGGGACAAATATTTAGCTGCTTTTTCCTTGAAAAACACAGCACCCTACCACCAACACGCCAAGTGAAGAAATGTAGTAGTTTAGTTACTAATTGACAATTAACAGCAAGGTCCCAAACAACTGCTTATCAATGTCAGGTGTGAAGAACGGTTAGACCAAAGGTGAGAAGCTTCTGAAGGTTAGGCTAGTTAGTGTTAGGATTTATATCATGCTAGCTTAACACAGATGCTTTTACAGGAACTCTGAGTCGAGGGTATACGAGTGTGTTTTACAAGGTGTGTGCATTACACCACTTAAATAAGTATTTTAAATCATTGCTTAATAATTTGGATAGGCATTGCAAGAAATGGGGAAAAACCTTTGTTATTCTTACAATAAATTAAGAATATTTGTAGTGCTGCGCAAAAGGCTTTTGCCACCATTTATTTCTTTATTTGCTTGCTTACAAGCAGCAAGACTTTCTTGTAATTTTAAAAGTGGTCTTGAGCAAAAGCTATCCAGGATTTCTGAAGGCATTTTAAAGGTTTTCTTTGGACATTGTCTGTATTTTCTCATTTCTTGTTACTCATGTTTATTGAACCATTAAATGCCGACCTAGGTTGTGTTGTGTTTACACACAACTTAGCCGAGAACCAATTAATCAGAATCAGAATACTTTATTGATCCCTAGAGGAAATTAGTTTTCGTTACAGTGCTCCATTATAAACAAACATTAACAGAGACAGACAATACACTAACTAAGAATAGCAATATTGCTATTCTATTATTAAAGCAGTGTGGGATCATCTTGATGTAGAAAGGAACAACACTAGCCAACACCAAAGAAAGAGCATTGGGATGCCCGTCAAGAACCCTGGAGAACTAATCCTGAGAAGTACTTCAGGGAATTACGAGAAAGCTTGCCAAAGGGAGTTCTGGCTGTGTTAAAGAATTGAGGTGATCAGACCAAATACTGACTTTCAAACTTGTTAGAATTATTTTTGCCTTATATACTGTATTGCCATGACCGTTTCAATAAAACACTGCAGTTATTTTCCATTTTCCTACCAAAATATAAAGAAATGGGGATAGCTCAAAACCTTTGCACTGTACTGTAATAATAAGCATATCGTCTGGATTTCTGGACTTATTATCTGGACACTCATTGTAGGGAGCAGGAATGGAAAGCCTTCTCACTTCATTTGAGTAATCCTTTGTGCTCTGTGCAAGCTTTGCTTGGACTAATTACTAGTAGGTATTGGCAACATGTACTGGGTGCTCTCAGTGGGTATATAGAGCACACCCCAATATAGCCCACTGCTGTAAAGCACTCAGCAGACGTGCAATAATATTATCAGAAGCAGTGCACATTTGATTCTTGCACATGTTGTTATAAGGTTAGGCGAGAGATAGGAGCTTGAGCAGCAGAAAGAAAAGAGACAGAATGGGGCTGAGCTTTTGACAAGATGGAGGAGTGAAATATTTAGGAGTTCACAGTGCTTCGGGCTCGAAAGAGAAGATTTTTGAAAGGAAAGCATAGAAGAGGAGTGAAAAACTACACTAAACAGAGAAAAGAATGGTGGGAAAACATTTTCTTTTCTTGGAGGAAAAGAAAAACAAAACAGGACATGGACAATATGAGGGTGGCACAGATATAAAGGGACTAAGCAGGAGGCGAGAGATAAGGTGAGAAAAAGATATAAACTGTGTCTAGATGTGATGCATCTTCAGTAACACTTATGGAAAGTTATTCCTAATAATGTGGGTAGCTGTGGGTTACAGTACATGAAACAGGAGAGGGAACGGTGCTGTTGTCAGTAAGTCTCCAGTAAAAGGTCCAATCCAATTATCCATCCATTCTCTGGACCCTATCTCAGCCACCATAGAGCCCTATGGACCCTATGGTAGCAGGTCCAATTATGCAAAATAATTTTAATGTGCTTTTTTTACTCAGTATTTAAACACAGAAGAAAGCAACCTTGGGAAGCAAGGAGGTCATTCAAATCAATTCAAGAGTATTTTCTAATATATTACAAAACATTTTTATAAAATATTTTCTAATATATGGTGTTTGATAGGTTGAAAAAAAGAAAGAAAAACCAATCATAGACAAATCACTGTAGCTGGTGAACTTCAAGCTCAAAAGCATTTTCATTTTCTATCTGTCAACAAATAGTAAAGAAATATGAAACTTTGACATAATTGCTTTTTAATATCTCCAAAGTCCAAGCCACATTTAGCTGATTTGACTATTTACCATCCCTACATTAAATGTAAAATTATACAATGCTTCAATTCTGAGTCACAAACAAGCTCACAGTTTAGTGCAGAACATACGATGCATCTGATAATATCTGGGTTATCATTTTTCAGCACCATTAGTCACACTGCAGGAAAAGTGCCTCAAGATATACTGAGGGCAATGGCAGGTCAAAGAAAAATTGTGAAATTAGAATACAAGAACACCGCACCTACACTGCGAGGGCTAATTAGTGTGAAAGAGTGCATATGAATGTGGTTGAAGCTTTGATACAGCCGCAGCTTTGACTAGCTGCAGGGAAAACTCAGTCTAAAGTTGGGTTTAATAAATGTGTTATTGAACGACTTGCAGGAAACGGAGGGCTACTCTTAAAGAATGCACTGTGCACAAAGCCTGCTGTGCAGGTAATAGAGGATATTACAGAAGAGATCACACCACAGTGGGCTGGGTAAGTAGGAAAGTAGACATGCCCGATTGAGATCAAATACCTCTCAAATCTGTGATGACTGATATGTATGACGGGGAGAGTAGCAACTATGACACTTGAAGCAGCAGCTGGTAAAGGCTGAGCATGTTCATATTAAGCTGGCTCCCATGAGTACAATGAAGGAAACCTGTGTAGGTAATGGTAATACTGGCATAGCACTGCAAAATCATTCATTAATTCGCTGGAGGTAACAGAGGAAAAACGTGTGAACATGAGTGATAGATTCTTACTAGTTCTACTCTGAGTCTTACACAAAAATGGACATCTACAACTAATTGGGTAAAAAATATTAATTTTGCTTTTAATATGTCCCAAGGGTTGAAATCTGTTTGTTTTTTAGTGGAACAATTTATCCTATATTGTTATCCTATATTAAAAAACCCCACATTCTGTCATAACCCCCACAATGCTGGTATTATTTCTGTTTTTGTACTTTAAGTAAAGAATATACTGTACACCACAACTGTATTAGTTTTTGGTTTTGAAATGATCACATATTTTATAGCAGTTGTTTGCAACACAATTCAACTCAAGGTTTAGTTTAGCTGAAAGTTAAAAAGGTACAATTAGTAGTTTTTTTTTAGGTTATTTAGTACAAGAAAAGGATATTGCACTCATAAATATACAGTGATTAGTTGTAATTACATCCTCTAACAAACTGATGCATTCTCATAAACTTATAAATGAATCCATTAAAAACACACAGGAGGAGAAAATGTCATGTTGACCTGCTATTTCAAATACAGTAGCCTAGATGGACATTGTTGTTTTGCCTAATTGCGTTTTATGTATGTAGTTAGAGATCAGCCACATAGGTAGTAAGCTAAAGGTGGAGGAGTAGAGAGCTTGCAGGCAAATTGTTATTTCTGTCTGCACCTTCAGATTGAAGATATGAAGGATCACACATATGGTTTATCATCGGAGAAGGGGTCTCCTTCGTGAAAGAAGTGAAAACATGAAGGGAAGTGACAACACCACCAGCATCTGAATAAAACATCATCCTTGTCGATAAACATGATTATTTATTCCTGATATTGTCACAGTTACTTAATGTGACATGTGATCATCCCGTTTCCAGACAGCTGACAACAAGCCAGCTAAACAACGACAGCATGTTATAAGCTAACATTATCCAAGCTAATTTTAGGCTTGAGTGTCCTAAAAAAATTCACATTCCCTCCGACAGTTTAAACTCTCATACAATGTGAAAATGCAATTATTTGCTATGTGTAAAGGTCTAACAATGTCAGATCCACTTCAAGGAAAGTTTAATTAACACTGGCTAACAGCAGCTAACTGTGCCTAACAGCAGCAAAAACAGCTGATCTGACTGACAGAAAGGGTCAGGATATTTATCACAACTCACCTCAGTATTGCTGTCATCGGTCAGAAGTGAGCTTCACTGACTCATATCGACATGTATCGGGCTCATTTGACAAAGTTTTAAAGCTGTTTGTCAGCACGCTCCGTAGCTAGGATTATGCAGCTGAATTGAGAGGGGTAAGACAATAGAACTCAACACTGCAATCTGCAAACCTACTAAAATCTAGTGGTGAGATTTTATGAACATGAACATGTTTCATGTTCTGACAGTATTCTTATTGAAAACCGAAACTACAATTAAATAACTGCATTTTTTAGGGCATTTGCTGGTTTCAGAAGACTAAACAAAAATTTTAAAATACCTTAAATCCTTGCAATTTTCTCCTCCAGCCTTGGGTGAGGATGTTGTTTTGCCTGGACTCAAAGGCCTAGGATCTTTGTTTCCGTCAGGTTTCAGTATTGTAGTTTCTCTGCACTCCTCTACCCGTAGTTCTCCTTCATCGCCGTGGCTACTGCCAGTGTCTGGTTTATAGGTGAAGATAATGGTTGGTTTCTGGGTGGGATCTTCTGCTTTTGCCTCAGTGAACCAGTGCTGATTTTGAGCTGGTGGTGGTGGAAGCATGTGAATGACAGTTCCATCAAGCCCGACAAGCTTGCCCTTCTCCTTCTCTCTCTCCAGCTTCTCCCTCTGCTCATCCTCGTCTTTCCGCCTACGAAAAAAGCTCTTGAAGGAGATCCAGCGTTTAGGTTTGGAGCTTTCTGCTAAACTACGTCTCCCTTCCCCTCCAGGACTCGCTTCACCTTCGCCAGGTCGCACTGGTGAACTGGAGGCAGAGCTCTTGGTCCAGTTTCCAAAATGTCTCTGGAGTATGTTAGAAGCATGATAAGGAGAGGATGTAGATCTTGGAGGAGGGAAGGGGGCAGTGGGCTCAGGCTGGGGGCTTGAGAGTGGGGCAGCAGCAGAGGCACTCTGAGACTTAGACAAAACTTTTGAGGGTGTGTCTTTCTTTGACTTGGAAAGACAGCCATCAGTTGGGGAAAAGAGAGACTTGGGCCGAAGAAGGGTCTCCTTAATGGCATCAGGTGGGAGGGCATATAGCTCCTCGGAATTAAAAGATTTGGTTTGTGCTGATGGGGACTCCGGAGGAGATTGAGGAGGCTGGATGGAGGCCACAATCTGTGAAAGCACAGCACTGGCTTCCTCCCTATGGCTTACAGCTGTCCCAGAAGATAAAGCTAAGCTTGTATTATCATCTTTATTGCAAGCAGCATCTCCACCTGTCTTATAAGTGTGTGTAACAATACTGGCAGTAGTGCTGGCTGCAGGTACACTTGCATTTGCAGTAATGGCAGGATTGGCAGGAGAATTTGTTGATATAGTGGGTGAGAATGCCCCACTTGTCGAGCCCATTACAGTGCTTGTCACAGTGCAAGAGTCTGTAGTGGTTCTAGGTTGTAGATTTGGTGCTTTTGACACTGCTTCAAGTGGAACCTTTGTCTCTTCAAAGGAGGCTCGCTCTGATGTTCCTCTACCAGAGAGAGTTTTCTCTGTTGAGGCGGACTGGACACTCTCAGAGGATCCAATCTCTTCATAAGTATGGCTGGCTACCCTATTACCCATCCCTTTTGTCTGTGGTAGCTCCCCACTGAGTCCCAGAAAGCTCTTATACACAGCTAGGTTATCATATGCACTTGGATTAATAACAATAGGTACCTTGACAGCATTCTTGGCACTGCGGGCATAAGCAGGCTCATCTCGGATAATAATGGGAAAAGGAGGCATGCCTGCATTATTGAAACTGTTAAATTTGATCTCTGATAAATTGGGGGATTTCACAGGTACAGTTCGAGAAGAAGATAGCCCAGCAATGGGAGAAGTGGGAGCTGACTTGTGGCTGCAGTGCTGAGTGGTCAGGGCAGGGACAGGATTATTCCCAACCCCTGAATCTATTTTAGGTATTTTTTGGCGAGGGCTTGTGCTTGATGTCCACACTTCTTGGTAACGTATGCTGCTAATCTTCTTTTGGGATGAACCTGACAGAGCAAAAGAAGTAGGTGATGTTGGCATCACAGGAGAAGACACAGATATTGGGGACATTGGAGCTACGGCCTGGGCTGAAGGAGTGCTACTAGATGTCGTAGGGCTTGAAGGCATCGATTGGTTTTTGGGTTTTTGAGAATCTGGAATCTGTTCATCTTTATTGGCCATGGATGCTGAGACATCTACTACAGTGTAAGGCTTACAGATCAATGACTTTTCCAAATTTACTACACGGTATGGTTTAGCTTGCTCCTCTGTGGGACTAAAACTTATAGTGACTGGCTGACCAGGAAGCGCTTGGGGCATTGGCATCCCTTCTCTGCCATCCTGATCCTCTAATCTGATAGCCAGGACAGCCTTGTGTGTTTCAGCTACCTTTAGTGGACTCAGTGCCCTGTTGACAGATTCCTTCTTAGGAGGAGAAGTGCAGGTGATAGGTGGCTTACAAAATGTGGGAGAATGCAAGCCATTTCGAAGGACACAGTTAGCGCTGCTACCACTGCTGGATGTTGTTCGAGAATCCTCCGGTATTGATGACGATGATTCAGGAGAAGTGGCAGACTCAGAATTTGACAGGAAGCCGCTGCCTAGCATATCGTGAGGTCCGTAGGAAATCAGCCCTCCATTGGAATCCACAGAAGGATAGCCATTTAAGATCTCATCATAGCTATCATCATAGTCCACCGCACAAATTCGCTGTAGTGAGCGGTTGCGAAGTGGCACAGTATTCCACTTTTTCCCCGCAGCAAAGGGAACGGGAGACAATGTGGCAGCACGGAAATTAGCAAATCGTGGTTGTCCTCGCATACGGATTTCCATGGCTACCAACTCTTCATCGCTTTCATCCCAGCTCTCATGCTCTTCATCATCATCCCTTTCAGTGTCTTCCTCATCATCATCATCTTCATCCTCCTCATCTTCACTTTCACTTGTAAAGTCCGGATAACAAAAGCGACCACCTTCTGTGCTGATGATCTTGGTACTATCGCTCAGGGATACCCGTTTTTGAGCAGTGCTCCCAACTCCACCACCACCACCACTACTACTTCCCATAGCCAGACAGCTTGAAGCTGGTATGCCTCTTTCTAAGGATCGTCGGTATGAACTACTGATCCGACCCCAAAACAAGTCCTTTGAGCCAGAAAGTTGCGTGGGACTAGAACCAGGGCCCAACCCAGCAATCTCTTTAAGTACATCTGTCAATCCACTGTTGTTGTTATTTCCACTAGGTGTCCTTGGGCTAAGTGGTCCATAACCCTCAATCTCATCATTGTCATCCTCTCCTTCATTGTTGTTGCTGGGCCCACCAGGTCTTTTGCGGTTCAGTCCATTGCGATTCCAGACTGTGAAGGCTGATGTTTTCCCCTGCTCTATTACCTTTGGTGGTTGCTGGAGATTGCCATCTGAATCAAGTCCTGCAGAGGAGCAGGGCAGCATCATAGTGGGCTTAACAGCGATGGTTGGCTTCTTGGCCACAGGTGGACGGAAGTGTCCTGAGCGAGCAGATCCACTGCCAGTCCGCTGGGAGTTGGTGGTGGTATGGTTAGGATTGGCTCTGGCACCAGCAGCTGGAAGGTTCTGTTGCTGGGATGTTTGAGGTCTTTGCTCAGAAGGAGGCTTCCCTCCACTACTCTGAGCTAGACAGTGCAAACTCTTTGGTTTAAAGCAGTTCTTGCACTCGCCTGGTTTCCACACGTGCTCTGTGAAGGTGCTGCAGGCCGACATGGCTGCGGGTCCAGAAGGTCAGCCCTTTAGGTCAGTGGACAGGAAATCCCTCCATGAAGCTCCAAACTACAGTGAGTATCTGTAGATGAATAATGATTGAAACAATTCAAACGTGGAGGACCTCAGACCTGAAAAACACAACAGGAGAGAAAAGAATACATTCAACTTAATTCAGTTAGTTGTGCATTTAGATTTATTCATGCAACACTGGTAACAAAGAGTAGGATGAGGCAGAAAGGCAGAAGCAAAAACACAACAAAAAATAATCATCTGTGGGAGGGAGAGAATGATTCAGAAAAGCAGTATTTCAATTTCTCCATTAGGTGGCAAACTTTCTCTACTACCTCAGTCCATCCTACAGGGAGCTGATCTGTTTTCTAACCCAAAATGGTCCTACAAGACTCAGAAAGGCAAGGGGCAGAAGCAGTGGGAACTGAAACAGGTTATTTCTGTATTATTATTATTATTATGGACTGTTTGAGTCAAGCTTAAGTAAAATGAAGTCACTGATGTTGTTACTGAATCAAAATCCAAAACCCTATGAACTGTTACTCAGATGGAAAATGTGATTCAGCAGAGTTCACACATGATCAGTGTGACCAGTGGCTCTTGTGATACATCCATCCATCCATTTTCTTCTGCTTATCCAATTCAGGTGTGCAAGGGGGGGGGTATCCCAGCTTCACAAGGTGAGTGGTGGAGTACACCCTGGAGAGGTTGCCTATCTGTCATGGGGCCAACACAAGAGACAGACAACCATTCACTCTCACATTCACACCTATTCACAATTTAGGTTTACCAACTAACTGAACCTCATGCATGTTTCTGGACTGTGGGATGAAGTCCGAGCGTGCAGAAAGAACCCAAGCAGGAAAAACGGGGAAAACATGCAAACTCCACACAGAAAAGCCCCAGACTGGACTTTACCAGGACCTTTTTGCTGTGAGGGAACAGTTCTAACCACTTTACTATGTGCAGGGCTTCTTCCGATACATATTCACATAAAATTTGATGACAATGAGGGATGACTGATGGCTATGGAAAATGTGTTATCAGGCCAGTGAGTGATTTCCTCTTAACTGTCAATATTTGATGTTTCACTGCTGGAAATTAGACTGAAATCCACAAAATATCAAAGAGTAAAGCCTCAAGGCAAAACCAAGTAAAAATAAAAATATACAAGAAACCCAAGAACATACACAGTTCACAGCCTTTGGGGTGTGACTGAAACTTATTTTCAAAATAAGCATTCAATAAGACACCTCTGTCTGTTCAATATTAAATCACCTGTTGAAATTGGGTCATTTAATATTCTCTTCATGCTGGACTGAATGCAAACAACCAAAGACCTGAAAACTGGCACTGAACCACACAGTTACTGTTTTAAGTAAAATAAACTCTAAAAACAATGGCACCTATTAAAAAAAACAACCCACTTAAAAAAAAAAAAGATCAGTGGTGAAAAATCCACACCATTCAATCTGTAAAATGACAAAGGCTGACATTTAAAACTCTGGTTATCAGCACAAGTCCAATTATCCGGTCATATTTATGTACTTCTGTAATTATACAATGCTAACAAAAAGTAGCAGAGTGATAAAGGCCCTACCCTAGTTGTTTACTAAATACATTCAAAGAAGGAAAGATGGGACTAAACATTTTTCTGGAACCCTTGTTATATCCGGTTAAGCCACACTTCAATGCAAATCATGAATCTAATGGAGGAAGAAAGACAAAGAAAAAGCCATTAGCATTTAGATGTGCTTTATCCTGATTGACCAGTCCAGCTTCTCACAGCCAATTATAACAAGCTCTGAAATACCACATTAACATCAAATCCATGGATAATAAGTGAAGTGTAACTCAAATAGCCAATTAAATTCAAGCTCAGTCCATGTTTAAATATTACACAGGAATGGTAGGTTACATAATCTGTTTATGCAGTTTATGCACCATTTCTAAAACTAGCCTGCCATCAACAGATTAGTTTCAAGGAAAAAATAAAATAAAATACAATAAAACAGTTAACTACAAAAGAAGGTGCATAAAAAAAAAAAGCAATAAAAAGCAATAAATTTAAGTGTTGTTTTCTAAACCAATATTATGTCTTTGGCTGGGATTTAAGAGCTTATTCAGCTTTGCTTGACATATAGGGTCCACCAATGGACTATTTTAAAACACTTGGGCTGGTCTCACAAGTGAATATGCTTTATAGGTAAAAAGACATCCAAACACAGATTTTCAGAATGTTTTTTTAAGGCAACCAAATAACAATCATGCAGACATTCTACAATGACCACCTGTGAAACTTAAAATGCAATATTAACAGAACAATGTTAAGAGAACCTTGGTTTTTCTTCTCTTCTGACAGTTTATCACAAAAGCATTAGCAAATTAATATTTACCTAATTAAATCTTTGAGTATTTTGCACTTTTATGACTGAACTTAGCAGTTAACCAAATAAAGCTGTGGATGACTCATAGCAGAGCTGATATCAGCAGGGTTAGGTGAATCATGGACGTCAGGTCCCGTACGGAAGGATGTTACAATGACAACACCCCGCCCAGGGCCAGACACAATAAAAGAGGAACTCCTGAATCAAACTCTGCTGACCGAGTCACATTGGGCGGGAGAAGATTTATCCTGTTACACCGAACAGGCTGCATCCACACAGGAAACAGTGGCTGTAATTCACACAATATTATTCCAAAGCTGTCACAGTGTGACACGTAGGCACTGTGGCAGACTTTCAAAAAGTAACTTTCTAAAGCCCAAGAAAGCCCAGTGTGTCTGTGAAAGGACCTTAACGGTATTTCTGCTCGTTTACAGTGACGGCACGTATCATTGTTTTGTCCAATTCTGACCCTTACAGGACAACATTATTAGGACTTTGCTTTTTCACATGTGCTTTTAAAAATCGAAAGGACGCCCGCCTTATCTTTACAGGAGAGCCCAAACACCCCACACAGGAAGGTTATTCATGCCACTGGCATTCAGTACCCACAGGTTGTTGCCATACATGAGGGTGGGAATGTAGATCGATCAGTAAATCAACAGCTTCACTTTCATACTTAGACCAGTACAGCATCCGCAATACTGCAGATACTGCACCAATCCGCCTGCCACTCTTCCACTCCCTTCTTCCCTCACTTGTGAACAAAACCCTGAGGCACTTGAGATCCTCCAGCAACTCATTCCCAACCCTGATTTAGCATGCCACTTTTCAGACTCAGAACCATGGCCTCAGACTCAGAGGTGCCACTTCTCATCCTAGCTGCTTTACAACTGGCTGCAAACTGCTCCAGCGCAAACTGTGGGTCATTGCTCCATGAACATCCACGAGATCCTGAGACTTAAGGATCTCACTTTTTTCAACAATGCTTTGCACACTAAAAAAATGCAGCTAAGATGTAGACCTGGCAGACTTTGTAAGTGCATTATTTCTTCCCTGACAGACAGCAGATGGAGGGGAGGAAGCGAGCAGTTTTCTGTGGAAATCAGGAAAAAAAGACTCCTTATTGTGTTTATTGACTCCAAATCAGTTTGGTGAAATTATGAGCAGCAGCTATCAGGGTGCTTTCTAATAAGATACTTCACTTTTCATTGTTGCCATAATTCTGATCACACTTGAGAGAATTGGGAAATATCAGATATTTAATGTGTCACATCCACAAATCCACCAGTAGAAACCACCCGTGATGGACGTGACAACATATTTTACTTTTCTCTTCTCCCTCATTAAAATTCTGCTGCTGTTTGATTTTATTTTCAAATCCTGTCACAGTGGGAGCTAATATGACACTGCACCCAGCAACAAGTAAAACATATTTGTATATTATAGATTTTTTCTGAGCAAAACTAGATCCATGATGTAACTTACAAGACCTCCCACCACCTGTTCTTGCATGACTGCAGCACACTGCAACACTTTTGGTCAAAACCCTAAAAATTTACTATAAATGTAACACTAACAATCACAGATTATTTACATTTAATGATCAGAGCATCTGCAATAATAAATCAAACTGCTTGGAAAGAAGCATTTCTCTAAACCGTTTGCTCATTTTCATCATAAATAAAAGCTGATGCACAAGGACAAAAATTATAATGAAAAGTATTGACTCCTTCATCAACGAATAAAAACAAGATGAAAATATTCTAGAGAGATGAGATCCAATCAGAACTGAATAAGTTTTGTAGAAAGGCGGGAAGAGTTTGATCCAATCAGAATTAATCTCCTTGTTTAGTAATGTTGGAGGAACACATTTCAGCAGCCCTCGGGGAACAGTACAGCTAGCTCCCACACTTGTTTCTCATGAATACGTAACATGTTAACACTTAGGAAGAAAAGAAGAGTCAAGGGAAAATAATTTTTAAACCCATTAGAGCAACGTTCTCCAGTAAAAACAGGAGAACATTTTTACAAGTTATATTTTAGTCAACTGAATCAACTTTAGGTTTGGCCGACAACAATCTTATATTCTACAATGTTTAGTTGACTAAAACCAAAAGAACCTAGATGCCAAAACTAAATGACATTTTAGTCAAATTTAAAATTTAAAATTTGCTTTTAGAATTAACACTGGGAAAAAAAAATAGTAAATGGTAAATGGCCTGTATTTGTATAGCGCTTTTCTAGTCCCTAGGGACCCCAAAGTGCTTTACACATCCAGTCATCCACCCATTCACACACACATTCACACACTGGTGATGGCAAGCTACATCGTAGCCACAGCCACCCTGGTGTGCACTGACAGAGGCGAGGCTGCCGGACACTGGCGCCACCGGACTCTGACCACCACCAGTAGGCAACGGGTGAAGTGTCTTGTCCAAGGACACAACGACCGAGACTGTCCAAGCTGGGGCTCGAACCAGCAACCTTCCAATTACAAGGCGAACTCCCAACTCTTGAGCCACGATTGCCCCCAAAAAAGAAAGACTGGACAGATAACATCAAGAATACATAATAAGTATTAACAAGTCTTTGCAGATATTTGAGAATAGGGGATGAACTAATAGAATATGTAGATACCAGGACAATCTAGGACAACCCAGGACAAATGAAGCACCGGATGACTTCTCTTATACCAATTAATCTTTTCGTAAACCACGAAAAGCAGCTCACAC